GAGAGCACAATGTGATTGTATACCAGCTTCTACGATACAAGCGGCAAGTCTAAAAGAACCAGACAAGAAGTGAATGGAGTGGCAATTATATTGTGATATGTTTTTGTTTTATTTCTATGCTGAGACCGAAAATGCTAACTGCGAGAGGCCCGGTAATGTGGAGCGTGGAAACGGCGTGGGTGTGCAGGAATGATTAAGATAACAACGCGCAACCGACTAACAGGCATTATCAAGAGCCAGAGAAACAGTTGGTGTAGGGAGTGGGCAGTATTTGGAGCGGTGGCGAGAGACGAAAGCGGCATCTCTCGACGCGGCGCGCCGGCGGGCTGTTCTGAGCGAGGAAGTTGTTTCAAGATCGTCGAACGGCGGCGCGCGAGGCGACCGGCAATCGTCCTGAGCGATGGCAACGGGGATCGACGCTCAAGATGGCCACTTCTAAGGTTATTCAAAACTAAATTTTATTCTTATTTACAAGGTCGTGAGTAACATTGAAGTAACCTATAGGTGGAGTAGCCCAAATAGCATAAAGTATAACTGATTCGGGATTACAACTAGTGAATGCTAATTGTGAGGAGGGTGGGTTGTTAAAACTGCATACTGTATAATCATTTGTATTTTATAAGAGCAGCTTTGGTTAGCTGTTGATTAATACACGTATAACAAGTCTATGTGGTGTAAGACAGGGAGCTCCCGTATGTGTTTAAAAGCAAAGAAAACTGCCAAACTAATAGGACAAATAACTAAGGAGGGCGATTGATGGATGGTTTTTTATTTGTACTCAAATTGCAAAAAGTGAAGCTTTGAATATATTGTATTTTCACTTCATGTTTAAATTGTTGTGCATGTTAAAATGCATATCTTTCATTCTGTAATAGATCATTATGTTATGCTACCCATGTGTTTCAGAGTGTGTGATACCATCCTGAACATATATGTGTTTTATAAAAGCTAGAAATATCCTGGTTTTTGGTATCGGGGACCCATAAATTATGTTTTGTTATTAAAAGATCGTAGTGATCAACATGGCTAAAATCAGTCATTCACCTTGGGGTTGGCCGCGAGGACGTCGCCGGCCAGGAAGTCGCGCGCGCGCCGGGAGTGGTTGGCCGCCAGCACGTACCCCCACAGGCGCTCCAGCCAGCGCGGCGCCGGCGGGGCGAGGGGGACGGGCGCAGCAGCAAGCGCTGCTCGAGCCCGTGCAAGGCGCCCGCAGCGCGCGCCGCTCGGCCAGGCACACCGCAGGGCGCCCGCGCCGAGGCCAAGGCCAGCGTCGCGGCGGCGGGCCTGCGCCGGGTCGCCCCCCACGCCGCGGAGAGCCGCCGCCGGCACCTGCCCATCAGGCGACCAGGGGTTTTCTATTGCACTTAAATATATGCGTATTATAATCCGTCTATCGAACAAGGCCCCGATTTTTATAGTGCATGTTTTTACATGTTTTGGGACTCTTTGTAATTGCATAATATTTAGAGCCTATAGTTACAGTTATACATATTTTGCTATATTCTCAGAAAAATGTCTAAAAATGCAATTATTAGTTGTTTTATTCATGTAGTTACTACCTTTTTACTTTCCGTATACGTACGTATATTCGGAGTATAGGGAATACTTGATATAGGGAAAGTTATGTAATGCTGCGGAATTCGATATAGAGATTTCACGGAAAATTCTCATTTGGGGTCTCGTGATACCGAAAAAATGTTTTTTCCCTCTGTCCGTCCGTCTGTCTGGTGTATGTGAACAACATGCGCTTAACCATGCGCGGATTTTTTTCTAAATTGAAGAAATCCCTGTCCATTTGGCCTGAGTCGAAGCTCTGCGATTTTGAAAATCATTCATTAGGTTTTGGAGGTACTTTACATGAAGCCCCTGGGACATTTTCATTTTTTTTTTCCAAAATCGGCTCCAAATATTTTCTTCAAATTTCAACAGTTCCATCCATGATTCAGAGGAGTTTTGTCATAATTTGCATTGTTTTGGTAGACTACATGTAACTTAGATCTTCAGTGATAAATATAACAGTAAAGGAACAAATTATTAAATTTTCACATTTTTTTGAAGTTTTGTATAGTTTGTTTTGTTAATCCATATATACCTGTTGTAAAAATCTCATAACTACATACATTTTACATTTTTAATGCATTACTATTCGAGCCGTAGTTATTTGTGTTTAAAGGCCGAGAACTGGCAAGGTCATTAGTACCGTAAGTGTAGTTCTTATCGCGGGATGTCGGGGCGACCTTTCACCGCTAGATGATGAGACCCGGCGCCGACATGCAGGATACTGGGGTTTTCCCAAACGAAGTATCTCCCACACCGGGGCACTACCCAATCCGAGACAAGCGTTGTAAGGGGTGAGGATAAGACAAGAAATAGGAAGGAAAGATTTCCGACATTCGCCTGAGCATACAATTTGTCACCTACAACTAAGTACTCACTTTCGAAATAATTTTACCCTCTTCTGGAGACAATAAATTTATTTTTCGTTATCGAAATATTTATCACCATTGTTTACATTGTTTACTTATAGTTCTGCGACTTCTATGATAAGAAGTCTACTATCAATCGTCTCTGGGGTTTTTACTCCTCCTTTCAAATCAAACTATTTTAACTTTGTGAAACATTTAATCGCTCTTAGCAATCTTTACCAATTCAGTTTTTAGGCTATGGTTTTGAAGAACGAAAATTCTTTTAGCTGAACACAAAACCTAGATCCCTAGATAGATTCAAGTGCATTCTCTTGACACGCTTACAGGCTGTTTCTTCCTTCTCGTTGATCAACAACAGGCTACTACTTCAGTACTCAAGGAAATTGGGTCCTATTTTCATTCTGATTTTATTCACAATATAACTTTCTTTATATTATTTTGTCACTACATTCTCTGCTTTTGCACAAATTTTGCTTAAATAAGTAATAGAACTTAGTATCTGGACAATATTATCAATATTTCAATGCACATGCTTATTCAATTTACTACATCTTACCTCCATGATGAACAGAAGCGCAAATGCAAGCTCTAAAATCATCATGACGGGACGATTAGTGATCTATTGTCTTGAAGGTATGTAACCTGTAGGAGAAGTAGATGGATGCGTCGACAATGCGAGTGTTGAACTAAAAATAAAATTCGATTTGGACATTTTCGGCTTCACCATCTATATTACCTACCTGCAAAAAACAAGGAAAAATTATCAGGAAAAATAATGGAATATCTCCAAAATGATGGTTCTAATCTGAATCGTCTGGTGGTGTTTTGGGAAAGAAACTGATTTCTTTACGGTCACTAACTCATTACATACATGTGATATTTCGCTTAATATACTTGAAGAAAACTGTCGAGGGACACAAGCGAAGTTTTTCTTTGGTGTCTATAATTGATGAGCTTGCAAATTGATGCCTCTGTAGAAATAACGGAAAGTAGTCAGACAGAAATATGGTGTGTTCTTTTAGTTTTATATTTTATATATTCAAATTTTCTGTTTTGATGACGTATTGCACTGAATAGTGTGTTACAGTTACTTCACAAAGTGGTTGCCAAGGTTTTGTTCAAGTTTACTTTGCTGGGAAACTGACGTTTTTTGCTCGATGACATGAAATCGTTGGACACTCGGGGTTAAAATATTACCGTTATGTGACAATGCATCAATCAGTTCTGTTTACCTAAAACCTGGATTTTAATCAATCATTGGACAGAAGTTCGGTTAAACATGTTATTTTCATTCTTCTAAATATGAGCTTAGCAAAATTATAATTCATCGTTTGCATTACATTTAAGCAAGACAGTTAAAATGAAAAATATGTAACTCTTTTGAAACTCTTTGTATTGTGTTTCTGTTGGTTAATTCCAAAATGCAATGTCATAGTATCAGAGGAAAATTACTGTTTTGTATTGTAAGTTCAGTACGGATGGGAATTTATAAAACTGTTTATGGTTATGGTTATCGTTGCATTTCGACGTCTTTCACTTTGATTTCACAAACGAAGCAAAAGAAGTTTACAATAACGTTAAAATACGTAAAATATTGACAAAGAAGTCAGTTCTGTGAATGATAAACAATCCTGTCGTTTTTTGCAAGTGGATTGAAAGACCCTTTGCCAAACTCACTTACGCGGAGAAATGTAGCTCTTTTAACGAAGGTAACAAGTGAGCTACCGTGATGCAGAAGTAAAATGTTAGTTATAGCCTTATCTTATTGCAATCTTGAGAATACAAACCTAACTACTAAGTGTATAACAGTTTCATAACTTACAAAATTACTAATTTTCAAACACAATTACACTTTTGAAGTGTGCTGAAAGTTGAGTGGTCACTTATCAACTGATGTAGACATAGGAGTTATTTAACCTAGAAACCAAAGTTTAAAGAGAAGTTGGGTTGAAGTATTTTAAAATTGGGCCTTTTCAAACGTATGAAGAATAGTAAGTGAGGAAGATAAAATATTTCCTTTTTTGAAGTCAATGTTAGAAAAATTCTGCTTTGGTAGAGAATTTGTTTGACGATGTTGCTTTACCACTTATTTATTTGTCTCTTTGATTCAAGAAATGTTTGATCTAATAATGAAAGAAGTCATCTACTCATGAATTAATCGTTATATTAAACTGGTAATAAAATATACATAATTCCCACCTAAAACGTTTTAAATTATTGTTCGATGTGTGTTATATGTAATGTATTTTTGTACAAATTTTTAAGTTCTGGTCTTTTTATTGAAATTTTCTATTTATTGTTTTAAATTTAGCATATTATTTATTTAATTTTATTGTTTTTAAGTATTTTTTGATTGGTACTTGCAGTAAATGAAATCGCCGCTAGGTGATTTAGTTCATTCAGGCTGTCCCCAGGGGGCTACGGGTTGCCCGCAACCCAGTGTGTGGCTCGAGGTGTGTCGACGAGATAAAAGGAGTGGAGGTGCAGGTTGTGTCTCGGGAAGGCAAAGTGCGGAGCCGCGAATGTACTCAAAAACATTAGCCTAGAAGGCCAGGGAGCCGAGCGAAGTTGTGGCGCGAAGCTTCAATTCAACATTTGTCAGATTTTTTTATTTTATTTTACTCTGATGATTGACGTAATTCACCAAACAGGAGGAAACAGAATGGAGGCTGCACATAAAGGACATCTACTCGCCAAATGATTTTGAGGGTGAGTATTCGCATAAAATGCGTTTGGTAGACTTAATGCTGTCATATACCAACGCGATGATCGAAGGCCGGAGCGTCGTCCTCTATTTAGACCCGCGTAGCGTCACTTTACGCGGGGAAACTTCTGATTCAAGGAAGGAACTCCTGATTTGAACTCCAAACCAATGTGAATAGCTTGGGTCTCGGAAGAGCACAAACTCTTCGATCGCTCGACTCCGTTGCGCTGTCTTCATATACATTGGCAGCGCCTGTATTTTTGTTTTCTCCCGAGACGCAAGTGGAGATGCAGCGGGCTGTCGGGGGAGTCTTTTGCCTTGCCAGCCACCCTGAGAGGGCACTGTTCTGCCTCCTCTTTAGCCGACGGCCCTACTGGTGCCGGTGAGATGAGCGCTTAGGCTAATTCGTCATACTACGACTGCCTCTGGACACTAATTTGTGGTTAAGTATCACTCTATTGAGAATTAATTCGAATCGTCACTTGATGTTTAGATCATTATTATTTAGGTATTCTCGAAATTACTAGTGCATTCTATGAGCCCATAGTTAGCTTTCCAAAATGTAGTGTGTCCTGAGGCATAAACCATTATCAGTTAGCTTTTTTCTTTAGAGGCAAGGTTCGACCGATGGTGAATTTGTTCGATTATACAGCCTTCTCAAATGAGAGGTTTTGTAATGTCATGTCCAATACGTTGTGAATATGCCCTAATCTAGTGATAATTCATAGCAGATATTGACGGTAGTTAGTGATATTGTACTTTATATTGACTTCATCTTATAATGGCATTATCTATTGTGTTTTCACGTCCTGGAGTCCAATTGGCATGTGCAAAGGGGTGGAAGCTATGAAGGTGAAGTCGCCTAATTGCAACCCGAAAATGTCGGTCTCCCAGACTACTTTGAACATAACCTCGCTTCGCTGTGCGCGCAAGGACATCTATTCGGTACCAGTGCAACGCGTTTCACAACCTGGTTGCTGTTTACAGTTTTATACCATTATAGGGGAAAATACAACTTTTATAGTAGACAATAGTTTAAAATTTAGATTTGGTTTCGATTTTCACTTTCACTTGAATTTAGAGCTGTAAATGGTGTTGGACATAAATTGTGATTAATTGCTAACAATTATAATTCTTTGGAATGGTTTTAAATTATGTATTTCTGATTAATGATCCACGTGATTCTTGAGCCAACCTCGTTCGGTCGGGGCAAAACTGATAGAGAGTTTCTTGCTATAAATTGTTTAAATGCCTTTCTTTAATTGCATTCATTGCGGTCATACAGAACCCAATAATTGTTAATCGTGAGTCGTGTTGGCCGGACGAGTGCTTATCATTGTTCGTTAGCTAGATTCAGACACATTGTCGTTATTAAATGATGTAATCACTCACAAGCCTTTATTGATACTCTGGCAACTTTTTGAGGTTGGAACATTGCCTGAATGTTGTGTTTCTTAATATAAAGTTAAAATATTTTTTAATCAATTGGTGTTGTTTATTAGGCAAGATTATTATAAAGTTTTCAATGTAATTATCTAAGATTAATTGCCCTGCATCATGAATGATCATTTATAGTTCAATAGTGTCAAATTGAATAAAACATTGTTTTTGTTGCATTTTAGTATTTTATGTAATAACATTTAGTGCCTTGCCAGACTCACGTTGCCTTCTCGGTCCTATGAGGAGACATTCACTGTCAAAATGACAACCAGTAGGCTAGCAAATACAGTTAAGGGACAAGATTTTTGGGCCCGGGTTAAGTTACCTACCTGAAAATTTAGAATATCAGCTTTGTGGTAATGATTGACTTTTGCATTATTTCGAAAGTTTGGAACGCAAATAAACTTGGCTGCTTGCACTTCAGTTTCCAATAAAACGTGGCGACCGTAACAATTCGGTCCCCAACAATTATGAACATGAAGTTTTTAAAGAGTTCTTTTGTGAAAATGGTTAACTTAGAAACAAATTTATTTCAATTTACTTAGAAATGCGTTTGGATTGCATTTTACACTGTATCGCACAATGATAAAGAAAATATTTTCACGAGATAAACGCAATTCTACCCATTTACCTTGGAATTTGATATGTTAATTGAAAAATCGCAGATTGGTATAGGAGTTACGCATCCTAAGGGGTCGTCAGTTAATTATGTAACGCTAAATAGAGGGGTTGAGGCACCGTTCCGCTGAGTTCGTATAGGAGTAGGGGTATTATTTTAGTGTTACGTGGCATTGATCTTTTTGTTAAGTTTTCAATGTTTACTCAAATAATTCCTGTTTTTGAGTCTTATACTAAAACATTAAAATATTAACTAATTAATTTGTCTTCAAACACAGTTATTAGATGTAAATTGTTACAATCAATCGACACATTTTTTCATTCATTTTTATTGACTCTGTAAGATTACGAAGAAAATATTTAAAACTGCTGTGTAGTATATTCTAGAATTAATTTAAATCCGCTCAGTAGACTCCACAACGGCGTGTGCACGGCTTGTGATAAAAAATGTCCTCGCATGTTCTCTCACAACTTGCCCGAATCTTATTGTTATGCGCAGTCAGTATCGCTGACTAATTTCTACTTTAATTATCACTAATTTTAATATACAACCGAAGTAAAACAATACACAAGTTATTTTTACTGTGCTAAAATTAATTTTCACTTCTTGCATTTACAAGAGCGAGGGTTTGTCGCAAGAGTTACGTAATTATTTAGTAGGGGGAGGTTCAAGCGCGCGTTGCGGGTGCGCTACAGGGGGGAGAGGGGGCCTTGAAAATTCTCCAGATTTGCGTTACGTAATTTATGGATGTCTTCTAAGTACGATAATCCGGTATTGATATTATTTAAAAGTGGAATTTAAATAGGTGTGCACAAAACAATATGTACCTTAAAATGAGGAATTATTTAGAGGGGTTCTGTAGAACAGCGTTATCATATTTTAGACATAATTGCTTTGAGAAAGAAATTAGATTATGGATTTATTTTTGAAACTAAGGCTGAAAGATGCGTGCTGTTCCAGGGAAGGAAATAACACTGCCCGGTGCATCTAACGTTTAGAATATTTTCAATATGCGATTGTGACGTGATTGACGAAGTGCTCCATGGCGCAATAGGTTATTTATCTTCACCTCTATGAATAATTTAATTTATTCTGTCGTCGCTTACTAAACATGTATATCCTTTTCTCTCTGTTTCGTATGAAAATATTTTAATTATGATCCAATACCTAATGACTCACACGATATGAGCCTAAATAGTCTCAGCAATACTTCTAATGAGAATTCTTTGTTTAGCAGCATGCATGCAGTAAGTGGTAAGTAGCTCTGAACTGATGTAGACTTCGCAGCATTTTACAGCCTTTAAATTTCCTCTCTTTGATGTTGCATCTTGGAATGTTAAACCTCAAAGTAAGTAAATATTTCAATCGATTGTCATTTTCGTTTTATGACCATCGTAACATGTCATAAGAGACCTGTCGTCTTGTCGTAAACCGAATATTTGTGAGTTTGGTCCAAATCTTCAAGGAAGTGCTGGTCACCATTGTGGTATTAGCAGACGTGAGGATAGCACCTTGCCATGCGAGTGCCTATAAACCCGAGAGGTTTTTTTTATCATTTCGATGAGTGACTATTCAGTTGTTCCTGTTAATTGTAGGAATACTAATATTAGTAGAATAAAACTATTTATTCTTTATATCTGGACGAAAAATGGCATTTATAAACGAAATTTTATCACTGTTATTACGGTTGTCGAGAAATTCGTGCCACATGTAATCTAAATCACACGTGCAACTCGTACATTAGTATTTCTGGTTACAAAAGCTAAGAAGAGATTGTAATGCAATTAGCAATTAATAAATTAGTAATTAGCAAATAGTAATTTTGCTAGGATTCAAACAAGTAAGTTGGATATCAGCCGCCACAATAGAAAACAAAAAAGACGAAGTCAGTAGTGTCAGACGAAGTCGTGTGTGACAATAAACACTACAAGGGTGTATTCACGTGTATTTTGTAAATGTTATTTATTTTTAATTCTCAAATACAAATAAATAAGTTTTTTATACTTATCATCTGGTATTACACGCCGGCGTATTTTCAGCTCCTCGTCACTTACCACCTCTCCTTTAGTTGAATTCAGAATAAATTATAGCAAGGAGCGTTGTTGACATAATCTGATATCTAGAAATGCTCGATTCCGTGCAATTTCCGTGTATTTCGCATTGAAAAACAAACTTCATATATAATATTATTCCCAGTTGACCAAATAAACTATCCCCCCTCTTCTCGAATCTTGTGAAATGAGGGCTCAAAAAAAAAGTGCATAGATAACACTATTAGCTTCACGTTGCATGAATGATTGTGAGTTTCTTTCTCATTGTTGTTAGCAACTACACTGTTGGTGCTGGCCATGCATTTATAAAACAAATCAGAAGTGTTGTAGATAGTTCGGAAGTGGGTAAGATATTTCATTACGGTACACTGTACAGTAATGCTTCCGCCCTGCTTTGCGGCACGGAAACAACCTAACGCGAGATAGTAGAATTAAGGCGATTCGCGCGACCGGGCCGCCTCGCCTCCAATATGACGTCCGCGCGCGACCCAGATATACGCGGCAGGGGCTGGGGAGGGGCGGGGGAGGGGCGGGAGGACCTTCCTGCAGCGTCTCACTCTCTGCTGGTCGCGCCTCTGTGTCAGGCGCAACGCCACTCTCCCGTCCGCGGACGCCCACGCCCTGTGGATGCGGTTGCAGGCGACGGACGGGTGTGGATGCAATTGGCTGATGAGTGATTTCGGGCGCGTCAACGCACACGGCCGTTATTCCCGTAAGTGTAGTGCTTGTTTTGTTGCTGTATGTGAAGACTATCTTCCCCGCTCGATGACGCCTACCTACGATGGCTTGAGAGGATTTTGATTTACGTTTGTTTAAGCCAGAAATCACAGTGACTGTATAAAAAGCGCTTCAGTTTCAATTTATTACAATTTAATCCCAACTACGGATAAAAAAA